CTACTTTAGTAAAATTAAATAGAATAATAAAATTATAGGTACCTACCCGTTATTAATTTTTCAATTTTCAACTTATATATTAACATCCTGTATTTCTGAACATTTTATCTAAGCTTGTTTTTTCGTTTATTCACCTTATTTGGAACCAGATAATCTTCAGTTGTTCATGGCCCATTCTTAATGTGACACCCTATATACCTATATATAAAAAGTGAAAAAATATTAACAGCGGAAAACTCAAATAGTAATTAACCATCCAACTTCTTGTGCGTCCAAAACCACAATCGTAACGTAGAGAACAATGTTCGCTATTATCAGTAAATTCCACTCAACCCATTCAATCTTTCCCAAAACAAAAACTGGTTTATTGCGTTTATTGTTTCTCTGTTAACAAATTCTTGTGACCTTTAAATACCCTTTACCTGTGACATTTGCAATCGTAACTAAAAAACACCAAAGACACGTAGAAATGAAAAAGAAGATTTTAAATTATAATTCACACTCAAGCACAAGACCTGACTTGGAGACCATGTCGTCTCCATCGCAATCAAATCAAGTGTCCATAAGATTATCCTACTATAATATCTTCATACAACGATTGCGCTCAATTTTTCTACTATCTTGTTCATTGATCGTGTGAACTGTGTGCCCTTCCGTGGAAAGAGAATATACATTCACCTAGTTACATATATCACAATTAAGTAAAAATTGTTACACATTTCATAAATAATTACAGTATTGTGCGAATTAATGTGAACACAGACAAATTGATGTTAAGTACCGTTTATTAACAGAGAAAAATTCAAACTACTAGTTAATAAATATGTTACTGTTATTTAATAAGATATATGTCCTCCTTTGGCTTTTATTACAGCTTGAATTTTTTGCAATGTTCCTTGATTTTGTCATCTCGAAACACACCTGAATGACAGCATCAATCATCTTGCCTTTTTTTGTACAATCTAATTTCAGCAATCTGTACTTGCATATAGACTACAAATTCTTAATTGGGTTAGGGTGTGGTGAGTTTTTAGGCCCGTCTAGAAGAGTAACCTTTTTGTCCTTGAAATATTTCACCATCTTCTTCGAAAAATGACAAGGTGCTGAATTCTGCTGGAAGATTTGTTCGCCAACTGCTTGTACTATGTTTAGTTCACTGGACAAATACCTTTCTAACATCTCTTTATATTTTTCACTGTTCATCATGCCTTCGACGGGTATAAGTTTTTCTGTTCCCTGATATGAGAAACAGCACCAAAACATTTTTTGACTGGATGTTTCACTGTTTGGACCAAGTGAGCTGCAGTCAACTTGTCATCCACGCCTTTCCGCACGAATTTTGATCAGTTTGATCAGTACCAAAAAGTGTGTCTCATCTGAGAACAAGACATTTCCATAGGATTCTTTTGTCCAATGAGCATATTTTTTGCAAAAATCATTCTTTTTCATCATAGCCTCCGTTAGAAGCTGTTTTTTTTGGGGGGGGGGGTCTCACAGTTTTTCAGCCTCCCTTCAAAAGGCGTCTGCGAGTTCTAGAGTCGTGAATTTTTATTCTAGTCTTTTCAAAATCTTTCTGAAAATCATAGCTTGTCTTTCTGGGGTTCAGCTTGCTGCTTCTCAAAAGAAACGAGTCATCTCGGAAAGTTGTCTTCCTTTTTCTTCCACATTTCCCCTTCTGGTGAACTTCAACTAATACAGTCTCCCTTTTTTGTTTAATTATTTTATTAACAGCTCCCAAGCTTACAGAACACTCTCTAGCAATGTCCACAAAAACACGCGTAACTTAGTAACAATAATCGGAAAAACGACTCACATTAGCAATAACTTGATGCATAATATGAGACGATCTTTTATGGAACGTGTAGATAAATGCATCGACGAGAATGGAAGACATATCGAACATTTAATGTGACACAATTAAAGTTATAATGTTATTTAGCTTAGTTTTTTTTTAATTTGTTTTCTAAATGTTTTCGATAATAATCATGCAGCTGATTCCTAAAATGCGATTATATCGTAAACCGTTAAGTTTTAAGGTTAATAACAAGTATACTTTTCTTCTATTAAAATAACGTGGCTTTAATATTCTTTTACAAAAATACCGCTGACTTAAACAGCAAAAAAATTTAGGGCACATTTATGCCACAAATGTAGCCTATGTAGCGCCCTCTACAAATTACATCGAAGTAGGTACCCAGATAATGATTTTTCGGACCCTGAAACCTCTATTTCCAAATTTTTATGTATACATATCCAAAAACGTTAAAGTTATTGCAAAAAATTAATCTTAAAATTTAACCTTTAATACCCTGTATATTCCTTATTAGCAACATTTTATTAAAGCAAGTTTGTTTAAATCGTAATATTTTAAAGTGAGGAATCTACCATACTTCTATGTACAATTACTTAAGGACCACCCTGTATATATTGTTTCTAGGGTCGATAAAGCACTTTCTAGAAATGATGCTGTTCTACACTTTTTAGAAGATATTTCCAAATATTATGAAACTCTTTTTACTGAAGGTACTGTTAGCAAAATAAAAAGAGGAAAGCCAAAATTGAAGGATGAGGCAATATCATATACATTCCCAAATATCGCTTTATGCTTGTATTATAACAATAAAAAATCAGTTAACTGTGTTTTATTTTGCTCTTAAAACTATATTTAGGTATAATTCAAAAAAAAAAAATTAGACAAAATTGTACTTACCAAATTTCACTATTTAACAACTATTTTCGAATTTGGTCGTACCTACCTAATTTGCATTTAATATAGATAAAATTAAATAATTTATCAATTAAAACATGCGAGACCTATTTAGAAATAAAAACAACAGTATATTCTGTGCTTTATTTGGCAATAGACAAGTTTATTTTTATTATTTTGACAAAATTATGTAACATTCCCATAAGAAACCATATATTTTGAAGAGCGCTACTAGCACCAGCGCCCTTGCGGTGAATTAAAAAAGCTTTAGCGTTTGTTTTTTGGGACCGGATTGAGTATGCTGATTCGCCTCCTTCTATCTAGTCTTCATATATGTGGATATGAAGACTAGAGACAAGGAGGCGAATGGGAATACTCAAAATACGGTCCCAAAAAACGCACGCTAATTGAGGTTTCATAATTAACCGCATGGGCGCTAGTACTGCATACGGTGTTCAAAATACATGGCTTCTTATGGAAATTATACATAATTTTGTCAAAATAATAAAAATAAACTTATTTATAGGTAAATAAAGCACATAACATATTGTTGTATTTATTTCTAAATAAGACTTGCATGTTTTAATTGATAAATTATTTAATTTTATCTATATAAAATACAAATTAGCTAGGTATGACCAAATTCGAAAAGGTTTGTTAAATGCTGAAATTTGATAAGTACAATTTTGTGGCAATGTTTTTTTTTATTGAACCTATATATAGTTTTAAGAGCAAAATAAAACACAGAAGAGATTTTTTTATTGTTGTAATACATATATAAAGGGAGATTTGGGAATATACATGGCATTACCTCATCCTTTAATTTCAGCTTTCCCCTTTTTATTTTGCTAACAGTAAAAATAAAAAATTAAATAATATTTGATAATATCTTCTAAAAAGTATAGAACACCATCATCTCTAGAAAGTGCTTTATCGGCACTAGGAACGATATATATGCTGCCACTGTTCTAAGCGTTTAGTATCCTATAAAAAACATTTACAATTTGGGTTCAACAAAGTAAATAACAGTAGCAACTCTTTAACTAACATTAAAACTATAAAAAATAAATTTTCTTTTCTAGTAAGTTAAATTTAATGTATAATTATTGTTGTTTGTGAGTCAGGATCTATGACTGTAAAATTTTATATTATAGAAACTTATAATAAAATAAACTACATTCCGTAAGATACATATTGTGACTAGTTTACAATAAATATTATATGTAGAGATAAATACATTATTTTACTTACATTAGAAGCTTTAAAAAGACATTGAATTGATTTCTCCTTGTGTTTTTTTTTTTAGTTTTACATTTGATTTGTATCCTGTTTTACAATCTTGCTTTGATGTTTTTTGTTACTCATGTTATATGTGCTCAGGTACTATTTTTTCACATTATTTTGATTCTTTTCACCATTTTTTTAAAAATTCACTTCATTTTACAGTGACTTACATAGAAAATTGACACCGCTGTTATTCAACATGCTAACTACAGTCAATAAAAAGAAGGACGGAAATTTGAAATCTGATACAGATACAATTCAAATAATACAGAAATTCCCCATTGTACACATTAATTCGTACAATAATGTACTTCAAGAGTAATTTCATACTTACATAAATTCCGTCAAAAATGTACATACCTAATTAAATTAAAGAGAAAATTAAACAAAGTATGATTTTTACAAAATGGTTAATATTAATATTGAAGTAAAAGAAATGAAAATGAAACAAAAAATTCTTGTTAGGTACAAAATAAATATTTAAAAAAATTATAATAGATATATTATATCAAACTCAAAAATCACGGCCACAACTGGATGCATCGTTTTGTTATCGGTTACTGGTATTTGGTAAAGTACCGAACATTTTAAATAGGAACGACGAGTGTTTTGTTGTTTTGTGGGAACGACAATCGCTGGTCGCTTTCTCGCTCCGCTGTGACTTTGGAGCGGTATTTCCATCACTACTTACTACGGAGAACGTCATTCTTGGACTGGTTTCATCCTTATTAAGACTCGTCAGCAATAAAGAGTCAGTCCTAATTCCAATCTCTAATGGATGTTGTAGATATCTAAAAATTCACTCGTATACCTACCTGTATGTTGGTTGAATGAAATTAAGAAGTCAAAAAGTAGCGCCATCTCCACTTAGCAAAATCAAAGCTCGCTTACAGTAACCGGATTTTCTTGTTTTTCATTTTACATCTTGCTCACATTTAAGTTTGGAATTATTTTCTTTAACACCCTACAGGCTTATCAGAAAATGTATCACTTATGGTATTGTTTCCAGAGTTGTGATAAAATGGTTCTTATATGGGATATGCGTACTGGAAATTGTGTACAATCTTTTGAAGGACACGAATCTGACGTAAATAGTGTCAAATTTCATCCTAGCGGCGATGCAGTAGGAACTGGCAGCGATGATGCAACGGTATGAATTGTATTTTGAGTTATTATTATTTTAATAGCCTAATTCACAAAACATCTTTAAATTTACCAACATATGAAACCTTGAAGATAGGAACGTCATTATAATAAATGACGTTGTTTCAAGAACTGGTATTTAATTATTTTATTCTTGGTAAACTGATAGTTTTCACTTTGAGGAAACATAACCTTATTTATTTGAATTTTACTAATCACAGTAACGGTTCAAAATTTGCTTAAAAAATTACGCCATCGTCCAACTCTACATTTTCTCTGAATTAACGTTTCTATTTTTAAAGATTTACAGTAGGTAACTATTTGAAAATGCTTTGTGAATACGGGTGTAAGTGAGATTTTAAAAATTCATAAATTAGCAAATTTGCTTTTGTTTCCGAACTTGGCGTCCAAATTTGTAGGGGTGGTAGTTCGCATAATTTGAGAGCGAGAGCGATTATAATAAACAAAATAGAGCCATTATAAGAAAAATCAAAAAGCGCCTAGCGCAATAGTCGCCTGATCGGTTACTCATCGGGATTTACAACTCAAAAACAGATGCGATTTGCAAATTTCTCCCTCCGCCCGGCGGTATCGAAAGACGTAGCCGATTGTTTTTCTAGTGCGATCGTAGCGCACGCGAGTCGAGGCAGTCCCATCGCTGTGCAGGACCGTACCTGTTTAAAATTTTTAATTAATTTTTAATTATTTTTATTTTAAATATTTTGGAAAAATGAAATCTGCGAATCGATCTCAAATTATGCGAACTACCACCCCTACAAATTTGGACGCCAAGTTCGGAAACACCCTGTATACTATCATTATTTACTACTAACTATAAGATATTTTTATTTACACATTTCTTTTAGTGTCGCGTTTTTGACTTACGAGCAGATAAAGAAATCGCCGTTTACAGTAAAGAAAGCATAATATTTGGTGCCAATTCTGTGGATTTTTCAGTGTCAGGTTTGTTAACATAAATTTCTAGTTGTTTTATCTATATTTAAAGACAATCGTCTTTTCATCAGGTATAAATAATGAGAAAATCGTAGTAACAATAATAATAGAGATTTTGAAGAAACATGTAAAAAAAATGATTTAAAATGCATTAAGCTTCAAGAACTAGTTGACCAGTCGATGTAATATAACCGATTTATCCGGAGGATATAATTAATTCATGAACTATACCACTCTAGAATTCACTTGTCTTCCACTGGTTGCGAAGTACCCTAAAATGTACATAATCACTTTCACTTTGCTTTCAGTCACAAAATGTTACTGAAGTTGACTAAGCCCATAATGATTGAAAATTAAATAATGTCTATTTTAAAATTTATAGAAAAAAAATACACTTTTAAATAGGCTTTCGACACCGACGAAATTTCATAAAATGCTCTTGAAAGAGTCAAAGTAAGCATTTTGTTGCATTACTCTAACCTTGTAACTATACAGAGCAATACTAAAAATTTAAGCTCAAAGCCATAAGAGCAAATAAATTGGTAAAAAATATCACTTTTTAAATTGAATTCCCTAGCTTGATAGGGACCGTGCGTGAAATATAGAGGCAGCACTACTGCCGAAGATAGCCCTCTCTACTGTTTAATTTTAGAATTAAATGGTGGTAAACATTGAAAGTAAAAAAATTTATTTTTTTCAAAATATTAAATATAGATACCGGCCCGTAACAAACAATCGTGTACATGGTCAAAAATGTGAAAAATTATTAAAATCTGGACATGTATATACATTTTGAGCAAAAAGATTTAAATGGCCAAGTGACAATAAATTGTAAAGTTGTATCTCAAACAAGTGTATCCAATGTCAAAATATCCGTATTTAGTAACACTGAATTTAACCCTGCGCTAGTCGCGCCTGATGCTCTGACGGCACTGGTCGCGCAGAGTCTGTTAGACTCCGTATGCATAATATTCATTTCTTTATTTTTTCTTGTAGTTCTTGGGTTTTTAGGTGTTGGTTGAGGAATGAAACTCGTGTTAAGGTATTCGCTAGTTTTTCATTGATGTTGGAAAATTGTTTCATTATTGTTACGATGTCTTCTCCATAGATAGACTTAATTTCTTGGTAGAATGGTATATTTTCTCCCATCGCCAGTGAATATTGTTACTTTATAAAAGGAGATCTCCTTTTCTAAAGTTTTTTTTTTCTTACACCTTTATTTATATTTTTTCTTGTAGTTCTTGGGTTTTTAGGTAATGGTTGAGGAATGAAACTCGTGTTAAGGTATTCGCTAGTTTTTCGTTGGTGTTGGAAAATTGTTTCATTATTGTTACGATGTCTTCTCCATAGATAGACTTAATTTCTTGGTGGAATGGCATATTTTCACCCATCGCCAGTTAATATTGTTACTTTATAAAAGGAGATCTCCTTTTCTAAAGTTTTTTTTTGTGACACCTTTATTTATATTTTTTCTTGTAGTTCTTGGGTTTTTAGGTGTTGGTTAAGGAATGAAACTCGTGTTAAGGTATTCGCTAGTTTTTCGTTGGTGTTGGATAATTGTTTCATTATTGTTACGATGTCTTCTCCATAGATAGACTTAATTTCTTGGTAGAATGGCATATTTTCACCCATCGCCAGTTAATATTGTTACTTTATAAAAGGAGATCTCCTTTTCTAAAGTTTTTTTTTTCTTACACCTTTATTTATATTTTTCGTGTAGTTCTTGGGTTTTTAGGTGTTGGTTGAGGAATGAAACTCGTCTTAAGGTATTCGCTAGTTTTTCGTTGGTGTTGGAAAATTGTTTCATTATTGTTACGATGTTTTCTCCATAGATAGACTTAATTTCTTGGTAGAATGGCATATTTTCACCCATCGCCAGTTAATATTGTTACTTTATAAAAGGAGATCTCCTTTTCTAAAGTTTTTTTTTGTTTTGTTTCCAGGATGGCATTTGTGCACGGAAAGCACAACATTTTCGCGTGTTTCAAACAAACGAAAGATTTACATTTCTGGAAATAGAACCTAGACTTATTCTTATTTTTACACTCCGAATAATATTTTCGAGTGCCTTCTGGTGTCTCTTCTACGGCGGATGTAGCCTCAGAAGTTCTTGCTACATCTTGTCTTTGACGGACAGTTTTCGGTACATTTTTCTGATAAGAGCGTCTCTGCAGATGTTCATCGATCAACGTCAGTGCTATTTGTTTTAGAAATGTTCTCCGTTTCAAATCGGATTTTGGATCAGGGTGATTAGATACATGAACAACATGACTGTTTATCCCTGCGATGTTCAAAAGGGAGAAAAAAATAACCATGGGCCAGCGTCTGGTAATTCGTGCAACATCATATAGTGAACAAAGCTGGTCCACAGAGTCGACGCCTCCTTTCGTTCCATTATAAAAAGTTATCATCTCAGGTTTGTTTTTATCACCAAAAGCGGGATCAATAGCGTCGCTATTGTGCAAACTGGAAATCATAAGAACGTTCTTTCCTTTTTTTTTTGGAACATAGGACTTTATCGTGATATGTTTACCAAATCCTTTTATTTTTCCGAATCGTTCCGACAAGAGTCAGCTTATGGTATCTCAGCAAATGTTCGACTAATGGTACAGAGGTAAACCAATTATCAGTGGTGAGGTTTCTTGATGTTTCAAAGTATACAATATTTAGGTAGATGTCTACCACGAAAACCAAGAAGCATTTCATCTATTGTTGCGTTCTGTGAAATAGAATAATGCTTTCGACAACTAGACACAAATATATCAAGACTTCTCGAATTGGCGTTAGTTTATCTGTTTTCTTTCTCTCTTCTCTGGAAGTACGATCGTCAAAACGTAAATGCCTCAAGAGAAATCGTTCCTTGCTCATTGTGAGCCAGAACATTTCTACTCTGGTTCCTTTTCTGTCCCATATCTCGTCAACGCTCAACTTGGGGCTATTTAGTAAGCCTGACAAGTATAGTAAACCAATAATGGCCTATCTCTTTTGTAATTCTGAGTTTTTGTTGCTATATAGAAATGTGTATGCTCTACAATGATATCGAGTATGTCATTGTTTTTGAAGAGATTCCAGCACCCGAAAGGACTTTTTGCTTGTTCAGCAATACCTCTCGTACCAGGAAGTTGACTTATTATATTCTAGGATCGAGTTCTCACTGCCTGATTTGGAGCATGCTTGTTCCATTTTGTGGTATTGTTTTTGCCCAAATAAAACGAAGCTCTAGGAATTTTTGATGGTGTCTAACGGGACTTCTGTCATCGTCGGAGGAGTCATCTTCTTGAACCTATCACTGCTTTCAGATCTATATTCCACAATATTCTCATCTTGATCTGAATCTTCATCAATTGGCGCCTCATCAGAGTCAACTTCTTCCCAGAGACGCATCAATCTTTACTGCTCCTTTTCATAGTCCATTTGCAACTAGAAATGAATAATTATAATGATGTGTAACAGCAGAAAATAAGCCTACTACTAGTAATCACGTGAAAAAAATAAAACTCAAATAGTCGCGTGGAGTCTAGGAGACTCGAGATGACGTTTGACAGGTAACGAGTTGCACGACCCTCCACAATCACTTGGCACATCCAAACTAACTAACAAATCGATAAGCTACATAGATGCGCTAAGTGGTGGGGGAACAATGCGAGAATATCCGAATAAGTTCGGAGCACGGAGTCCTTCAGACCTACCGCGACTACTCCAGGGTTAAAAGTATTACAATAACATTTCAAAAATGTAAATTAATAAAAAAGATTGAGTATAATAATAAAAATTCTTTCTAGCTTTATGTTAGTCGAATGTCATTCATCCACCTTAGACGTTTATGAGACACTCAATGATATACATAATATTGATTGCTCACCCATGTATACAAAAGATTACGAAAAGCGGGTTGCAATGTGCCTTTCCTAGTGCTCACTAAATAGAGCCGTTCTAGCCCAAATGTGTTTTAAAATAAAATTTCAGCATTTCAATCTTTAGAAAAAGAACATAATTAAAGTTTTACTTCAAGACACGTTATTATGTATTTTAAAAGTTAAATTTCCATGTAGTTAAATAATATTAAGAAATCCAAAAAAAATTTATAACAGATGGATGTAAATAATTTTAGACCACTCTCATTTCAGAAATAATACTATATAAAATACATAATTGCAATATGTAATACAACTTTGAAAAGGTAATGTAAACAACTTTGATATGAGATATGAACAACTTTGGTAAGAGTTGTAATTGAACACTTATCTATTATTCTGAGTAATGTTTAATGGTAATGTTACTAAAAATTTTACAAAAAATCACTGGATTTTTAATATTTTAAAGTTTGTAGCAATCTCTTTCGACAGTAATTGCAATGTATTAATTATAATTTGTTTATTTTAGTGATAAATGAGAAATAGTTAATAAATTGTAAAGATAGCCATGATATTTTTGTCAAATTGGACATTCTAATGTTATAGTAACATTCTACATTAGTTTAATATGTAAGAATCTTAATGACAAGAAAACACTAAAGATTCTAATTTCTAAACCGGTTCTGTAAATGATTTGTTTACAACTAATGCTCAAAATTGATAGAAGCTAGATAAAAAGAAAACTTTGCCCAGTGAAATACGCTTTTCATCATCTGATTTACATATGGATAAGCAATCTATGTAATTATGTATATCATTGGGTGTGAGAACTAACTGTGCTCCGTGGAAATTTATAAAATTTCTTTACTATCGAATCAAATCCAGGTTTCCAAAGTGATGTATTTGTACATCCACGGATGCAACAAGTTTTTTCGATAATGATATTACGAAAATAATTCGACTTTATTTAATAAATGCCGTATAAAACTTTAATTAATCCCCCCTCCACCCATAAAGTTCACATTTTTGTTACCAGTTGGCGTTAAAGTCATGACGCACGGTCCCTATACTATGTAGCTAAAACACATCACCAATGTTATACTGACAAATACAGCTCGATAAAAATAGAACTTTATCTATATCCATAAACAGAGT